TTTATGGCACCATACGAAGCACTCTATGGGCGTAGATGTCGCACCCCGATCTGTTGGAATGAGTTACGTGATCGGAAGACTTTGGGACCTGAGTTAGTACATAAGACGGATGACACAGTCAGATTGATCTATGACCTCCTGAAATAGGCATTTGACAGGCATAAGTCTTATGCTAACCAGAGGAGGAAATATATCGAGTTTGAGGTTGGAGATCAATTTTTTTTAAAAGTAACCCTATGGAAGAAAGTGTTGAGATTTGGGCACAAAGGTAAATTGAGTCCAAGATTTATTGGACCATATCGTATCTTAAAGAGAGTCGGAATGTTGCATACCAACTTGAGTTTCCTCCCCAGCTTAGTCGTATTCATGATGTCTTTCATGTGTCTATGTTGAGGCTCTGTCGTCTAGACCCTAGCCATATCATTTAGTTAGAAGATGTTGAGATGATGCCAAATCTATCATATGATAAGGAACATGTTTAGATTTTTGATCGAGATGAGAGAGTACTGAGGAACAAGCGTATTCCTATGGTAAAGGTCCAATGGAGTAACCGAGGTTCTGCAGAAGCACCTGGGAGACAAAGGAATTCATAAAGACTCAGTTTCCGCATCTGTTTACTCCAGGTAAATTTCGAGGACGAAATTTCTTTTATAGGGGGAGAATTGTCACAGCCCAGTTTTTAGAAAATAAAATAAATAATAATAATAATAAAAGGTTAAAATTTAGAATTAAGTTAGTTGAAATTTGTGACTAAATTATAAAATTTTAAAGCTAGGATACTATTTTAGAAAGTTATAGAAAATTCAGGGACTTGAATCTAAATTTTCCTATTTATAGACCAGTAAAAAATAAAATTACCTCGATCGGTTAACCCCAAAATTTCCCCCAAATTAAACATGAATCACTAACCTCCCCCAAAATTCATTTCCCTCGCTGACCCCTTTACCGCTTCAATTTGCTATCGTACGGCCACCGTTCATCGATCCGACACCACCAATAGACTCACCGTTGGCTGGCGACCAAAACCTGGCCTTTGTTCTGTCGTTAATCACCGTCGTTTTCTATAGAAGATCCAACAAAAGCCGTAAAAAACCCATCACCGAGTGAATCTTCGATGATTCTGGAAGCCTCTGACGTTGTCTTGCGTCACCGCCACCTCCACTACATTCAACGGTATCGTGCGAGCAAAACCCGATCGGTTTTATTCATCGTTGATGTATCGTCGCTGATATGTCGTTAGGTAAGTTATCGATCGATTGTTGGTGATAGTTCGGCTTGGTTTTAGTGTGTTATTGGACTAATTTTGGATGTAATTGAGGCCATAATTAAATTGGGAGTAATCGAATGGTGATAAATGCCCCTTCCAGAGCCGCACGTGCCGGCAGTGCGCGTGGTGGTCTCTGGCTGGTCCAAGAAATTTCTAGAACCAGTCCATGCAAAATCGAACCAAATTGACCCGACCCGAACCGATTTGACACAACCCGAACCATTGACTGTATGACCATTGACCTTGACCGGTCAGAACGTTGACTTTAACCAGTCAGACCGTTGACTTTGACCGGTCTGATCGTTGACTTTGACCAAAAGTCAAAATTTTTGAAAAGGCATATTTTATGTTTTCGATGTCATGAGCCCGATTTTGAAGTTCGTTTTTCAAACCTAAAAGCCCCCAAATTAACCATCAAACCCAAATATGCTTATGTAATTAAGTGTTTTAATTTTGGAAAAATTAAAGTAAGACTTTAGACTGATTAATTGTTGTTATTTGAATGCACTCGAGAATTATCTGATCGCTCGCCAGCTCGACCCAGATCTTCTCGATCCGTTAGACCATATGAGTCGATAGTCACTCGTATGAACCGTGAACTTTATGAATACACCGATTAGAATATTACTTCAACATTAACTCAGTTTGCTATGATTTATGTTCGAGTACTGTAGCAGAGCATGACGAGGTCAGTGCTTAGTAGTTTTGTTGTGTGCCCCTATTTTACGAGGAGTGTTCCCTATGTGCTACCCGATTGTTTTATCTGATTGGAAATATGTTTCACTGAAATTTATGTTTTACTGGTTGATGGTTATGAACTATGAATGAATGATGCATGATATTTGAATAATTGTTTCCACTAGAAAATATGATTTTGCCTAATACAAATCATGGAAATTTCTGCTCGTTATGTGAACTGTTTTATTGAAATGTTTTCTTTAGGTAGGTTGGAGAATGGAGGGTCAACTCTGATCAAGCTAGTAAATCCTTACAAACATAAAGCGACCCTTAGGTAGGCTCTGCGACCCCGAGATCTTTCTTGGGTAGGTCCTGTGGCCATGATATTTTATTGGGTAAGCTCCGTTGCCCCGAGAACTTTCTTTGGAACGCTTTAAGGCCCCAAGATGCTTTCTTATGTTGGCTCCTTATATCCAATGGGTATAAGGTAAGCCCTATGGATGCAGTTATGGGGAACTGCATATGGTATACGGGAGGAGGGTAAACTACGTGTTTTAAAAACTTATGCTTTATCAGGATTTCAATGATATTTTACTGGACTATTACTTGATTGCTTACACATTATGTTTTTATTGCACTATTGGGACACATTGAGCCCCTAGCTCACTTTTCAAACTGTTTCCCCCCCTTTCAGATACTTTTGGATAGGCACCCGAATCAGGCACTCGGAGGATCAACACATTTTTGAAGAACTTTTTGTTGTAATATTTCTATCTTCCGAACTGCTTTTAATTATGGTGACATGTGCCATTATTTTGAAGTACTTTTTCTATGATGATATTTATTGCTTTTGCTACTGATACTCGATTTATTGTACTTCAGATTTATGACATGTTTTGTATTACGTTGTCCCTTTTAGCTTTATATTTACAGGTTGGGTTTTTATCGTTAATTATTATACTTTTATGAATGCTCTTTTTAAAATGGTTTTAAATTATCAAATAACGTTTTTGGAAAATATTTTAAGAATTTTAAATGTAATTTGTTTTACTTAGTCGAAATGCATAGGCTGGGTCTAGGGGGTTACAGTTCGTGATCTCGGCAGTTGTGCTACTATGCGATGATTATCTCATTGTTGTATCATGGGAGACAGATGATCAAAGATCTGAAGCACCAAGGAATTGCCGAAAACCTGTCTTAAGGAAACTGTGTAGTTGTATGCCTCATCTCGATACACGAATTTTGCGATGAGATCCTACCGAGGTGTTGATCGTCCTTTGCGCAATTTGATGAATCTCCATGGAAAGAATTTACGAATACGTTTCTTGGTTGTATTTGGTTTTGTCGCTATATACAATTATTTGGTATTGCATGCGTTGAAGGTGGCATGACACCAATGTACAAATTAATGTACTTTATTCATTTATTTTAATTGTTATTTCATTGTATCGTCTTAGATTTTTATACCTCTAACACCATCCAAATAGTTGATGAGGAAAGTACATTAAAAATGTTTTATTTTCAGAATATCTGATTATTTTTAAAATGAAATCAAAATAATATTATCGGATATATTACTGAAAATATTATATTATCTTTTCTATTTAATAAATTTACACCTCAAATAATTAACTAGACAATTAAAAATGTATAATAAATTGATTAATATGAAGAAAATATATTATTTTAAGGATAATTTTATACAAAACAGTAGGATTTAGAAAATACCTTGGGAATGGATGGAATGATATTCTCATGATCTTGCCAAAAAAAAATATTATTATTATTTATTAGTCTGGGGTACTTACAAGTGACATATATCTTTTAAAGGTTTTTAATCATTTGACAGTGAACATATAAATATCTTGCAATATGTGGTGTTTGAATTTTGAATATTTAAGAATAACAACTATTTTCTTAACTACTGAAACAACTTGATTCATGCGTGAAAAAATATTATTATTGGTAATAATCTTTTCTCACCTTATAAGAATGATGACCAACTAAAAATGATAATGAAATTTTAATCTTTTTTACGAATTAAATGAACCTACTTTTACATTTGATTACATAAGTATTATCACATAACAAATTTATTATTTAAGTTTAAAATAGTTTAGCATAATATGAAAAATAATTAGTACATAATTAATCTTAAAATTAAAATAATAATTAAAGTAAAAAAATATCTTTTTACAATAAACAATATGTATTCATTCATTGTTTTTGTGCAAGTTTAATCATATGCGCAACTGAAAATTAATAAATTAAATTAATTGTTAACTGCAGCACTAAAATAAAATTAAAACGCTATTTTAACCCTATATTTTAAATTCTATACATAATTAAAACGCTGTACAGATGCACAATGATGAAGTCACATACATGAAAGGGGTGTCAAATGACAGCCAAATTTTACATTAAATATATTAAAAATAAAAATTAACACTATTTGAAAATAATAGTAATACTATTTTTTTTATAAAAAAAATTATTACTTATAAATTTTCTAGATTTTAACCCTATATTTTAAATTTTCTGGTTTTGATCCTGGAAATGTATACCCCATATTTTGATTAAAATTCGAAATCAAAGAAATGGAGATTAATTGATGAGAATTTTTTTCTATAATCGCTAGTATTTAATCTATATACTTTTTACAAAATAACTCTTTCAACTCAATTGATTTTATTTACAACAATAAAATTTGAATCTTAAATATTATTTAAAAGCTTTAATATTTCATCTTATTAAATCAATTTATTACCGTAAAATATCACAAATAAATTGAATTAAGTTCAATTCCACTTTTGAAAATGACTGCAAATTCTAACTCGAGTTAATATTAACCCCACCTTATTAATTTATTTTGCTTTGGTTGCTTTTTTAACAGAGTAGAGTTTGAAAAGCGTTTTCATATTTAATCACTTTCTTTTAAAAAGCGTTTCTCTTGGCAAGATTGACCGTACGATCTGTGAAATGTTTGTGATCCAATCACAGTATTCTGTTGGATTAACTTTCAAGAATTTTCAGTTCAAGTGCAAATTTAGTTCACTGACAGCAAGCATTTCATAAGTACCATGACATTAATTGAGAGTAAACAGATAATTACACCAAAACCAGCCTATTTATCCCTGTAATTATTCACAATTTCTAGTTCTCTTCCATGTTTATGGCTTCCTGCACTGGAAGAGTCTCTACCTGGCCGCGGTTATCGGTCTTCTCGTCCGTTTCAGTCAGGCAGTGCCTGCATGTAGGGCATGAAGAATGCGAACTAAGCCATGTATCGATACAACGAGTATGAAATCCATGGTTGCACTTGGGCAAAATCCGCAGACACTCCCCGGTAGCAAACTCCGATAAGCATATAGCACAAGCGGTGTCTAGGCCAGGCAAGTTCGACTCGGATGCGTATTTCACAACAGGGAAGGAGTTTAAGGCTTTCTGCTTAACTCCTACATTGACTAACTTGGTTGAAGGAGAAGTTGAGCCCCTAATTGAACACTTGAAGAAACAAAACAACCCGCAAAAGGACATGATGGTGCAAATGAGGACCAGGATAACAATGCGTGTATTTGCGTGGACGTTGTTGTTGGAATAACTGTGCTGCTGAGTTGGGGAACTTGCTGGGGTTTCTATCGAGTAAACAGAGGCATGAAGGAGAAGTTTTCTTGGATGGAAGCTTTCAAGCAACTCTTGAGAGAAATAAGTTGTTGAAGCTGTCATGTTTAATTTCCTAGTGGTTTTATTTCAGATGACTCAAGGTATTGGTACCATCGAAGGATTAATATACACGAAAAAAGTTGAAACTAAAAGGTGGGTCCGAGGCATTATATTTTAGGATTATGTCAAGACTCAAGAGAGAGCTTAAGTCTATCTTAGAATATCTTTTGGAGGGTAATTAGTTGCTCCAAGATTTTTTTTAGACTTGATCCCACTATGCATCTTTTTTAATATTGCTGAAAGGCTAGTTGAACTTTCCAGAAGCCAAAACGGGTACTACGTGGAAGTTTCCACCCATTGTTCCTCTTCAATGGAACATCTAGTCATTGGAAGGGTAATTAGCCAAACAGATGAACCATTGCAGAACCAAAGTATGTTTCTGAAAACCAGTAAATCCCATTCTGTGCACTATTTTGAAATTTTCCAACTCATATAATTTAAGATTTTTCTTTGCATTTTCTATTGATAATTTATTTCACACTTAAAATTTTATAAGTTCATCGCATAACATAAATCTTCTTCCGTTCCTGAGAGGAAGCCTTTTAATCTCTTTTTGTTATGCCTTATCCAATGAAAAATTTATTAACATATGTCAAAGTTTACTCTGAAGCAGGATTTTTCTTCAGCTATCAAGGACATGAACTCTATGATGTGCCATGCATAGTACTAAATTGCGGCCACAACGCAGCGTAACGCTGCATCGTAACATATTTTAAGGTCCCGCAACGTAATATCGGCGCAACGCGATAACGGAACCACATCACGATTGTTGCAGTCAAATCGTTATGTAACACCGCAACACGCTATAAATTGCGCCGTAACGCCGCAATAAACTTTAAATTAGCTGAAATATAAAATTACATAGATGAATTGTTCTAATTTAATTCTTAAAACTGGATTATAAATATATAACATTAAAATTATCGTAATAGTTATGTTTAAAATTAATTACTTAAATTTGAATTAATTAAATTATTTATTAACTTTATTTTAAAATTAAATTAATTTAAATATAAATTGATTTTTTCTCATGTCTAAAATTGACGTGATTAATTTTAAATTAAATTTTTATATTAAAATTAAATATCATAATTATATGTTTATTTATTATTATATAAATTTTGTATAAGAGAGAATTCACTTTATTTAAATAATAATATATTTATTATTATATGTCTATTTACTATGAAATTATAAAATTTTATCTAATCTATAATATAAAAATAAATAAATAATATTATAAATAAAATAAAAAAAGAATATATTCATTGACAAAATAAAAAAGTGATGGTGTGTGCGTGTAGAGGCAGAGGCGCAGAAAAGCAATGATTGATAAGCATGATTACACAATTTGGGATCAGAAAAATGTAAATAAATAAATAAAAATTATTAGAAATAAAATAAAAATGAATATATTCCTTGATAGTGTGTGTGTAAGAGACAAAAAAAAATAAGTGTGTGTGATGATGATGACGACGATGACGACGACGACGACGATGATGTGGTGATTGTGATGATTATGGTAGTGATAATGAAGTACACATTTATTCTACTGCTTTTCATGGATATCAAGGTACGTTCATATATCCTTACGATGATAATTCAGGTTTGTATAGAACAAATACATCACAAAATAGAAGAGATGATGATAATAGAACTCATAGAGGATGAGAGAACACTTTTATTATTCATTTGCAGGTTCATCATTATATAATTCAGCTACAAATGATAATGAAATTAGTGAACGATCTCATGGTTCTAATTCTTACCAACCAAATTCATATTATCCACCTTACTTGAACAAAATCAAGTTATGGATTTTTTTTGTCATCATTTATCATATTGCATGTTTCCTATCAAATATGTATCTTATTATGCACATAATGTGATGTCTTCTTCACATGGAATGTGAATGAATCAAAACTAGGACAATAACGAAGACGAAAATACTTTAGATCCACCATGTCATTCATTTTGGTGGTGAACTGTAAAATATAGAATTTTATATTTGCAGTTATGTAAAATGAACATTTTTATGTTACAATATAAAAAATTTGATATGATTTTAGTGATATTGTTTATATTTTATTCATTAACATTATAATTGTTATTACCCATTATATAGTATGATAAAACTTCTATGGTTTATATTGTTTTAATCAATTTTTATCTATGAAATTAATTTTTTTATTTTTAAAATAAAATATTAAAAGAGTATATTAATATTAATATATGAAAAGATAACTGTAAAATATAAATATAATATTTTAGATGTATTGTGATTTTTTAGGAAGAGATCACGCCCGCAACAGCCACAACCGTGACACCGCATCCGCAACCGCAATTTGATACTATGGTGCCATGTTGTCTGTTTTTCATGTGTTGATTTCCACTGCTGTTACAAGTGACTGTAAGAACGCCTGCACAAGAATTCTGGAATCTATAAAAAAAATGGTTGCTTGAAAAACTTGACGAAACCAAAGCACCAAGCACAATGTTATGTACTTTACTTTTTTGAACGTCAAAGTATCCTGAAAGGGACAGTAATGGAGTTTGGTTTAACAATGTTATGTACAATTTACAGCTAATTTCATAGTTATCCTATTGTATGCCGTTATGCAGGCCAGGTTGACGACCATAAATTAACAAATCTTTACATGCACTTTAATATATATATATATATATATGGTGGATTGTCATCAGAAATCTACAGCCTGCAACTAATTGGCATAAGATATCAGTAACCACTTGTTCTTTACTTTGTTTATTTTGCTATCAAATCAGAGCATTATCTTTCAGCCATGCAAGTAGTCTGATAATCTAACACTTCAACAAAACAGGTTTGTAGTGGCATTTTTTGGTCATATAGCGGCGTTTTTAAGCGCCGCTAAAAACCTTTGTGGCAAAAAAAAAAACGCCAAAAGCACCACTAAAACCAACGCCACAAAAGGTAACCGCATTTTTCATCTACAAACGCCGCTAAAGGTTATGAGTTTTAATGATGTTATTTCCATAAACGTCGCTAAATGTTATGATATTTAGCGGCATTGTTGAAAAACACCGCTATATATATTTTCTTTTGTGGTGTTTGTAAAAAACCGTCGCTAAATATTATGACAAATAGCTACATTTGTTCCAAAAAAATGCCGGTAAAAGTTTTGACATATAGCGGAGTTTGTAAACTAAAACGCCGCTATTGACTATGTCTATAGTGGCATTTTTTATAAACGCCGAAAATGATCTATAACTTTAGTGGTTTTTTTTCTAAAACACCATTATTGCTTTTGTATTTAGTGGCGTTTGTTATACAAACGTCGGTAATTAACTCATATTTTGCCAATGGTGTTTCCCACTCTTCTGTTACTTAAATTTAAATTTTAACCTGTAACATTATCCAATAAACATAATATCAATAACAACAAACTTTAAATCCATGACAACCAATTAAATCCATTATAATAAATCAAACTTAACATCAACGTAAAATATAATGCATTTCAACATTGTTAAGTATAATGAACAAAACATATATCTAAAATAAGACCTAAGATGGTGGACTATGAGGTTGGTTTTTTTCGTATCATCTGTATCATAACTTCAAGTCGATTTTAAATTCTTGACATTTTTGCTGATATGATGTTTCTCTCTGCTTCCCTTGCTTTATTTTCGGCTTTTGTGTTAGCCATTTTTTTTATCTATTTCAACCAACTGTTGTTTTAAACGACTAACTTCTAATTAGGAAGACCGACTCTGTGATGACATGTACTGAGATGAACTGGATCCAAAATATTTGGTATGAATAACGATTGATCCTTGACAACGAAGCTGGCCATATCCTTCAGGACCCAAAACTTCATTAATAACTTGATTTTCGATGTCTTTTGCATTAACAATACCATTACTTGAAGCCGCAGCTTAATATTCTGCCCTTTTATCCCTCAATTTTTCCAAATAATAAATTCAATAATTATTTTAAATAAGAATGTCATATTATAGATATAAATATAACATAATTCAAATCTGGTATCCAATAAATGTACCATAATTTCAGCAGCTTCATCAGTCATAGGAGTGCCATCCTTTTTTGTATGTGTCATGTCGAGAGCTTTATTCGTCCAACTTTACAACCAAACATATTCTTCTACAATGTAGAATAAAAATCAACTATTGCAAAAAATTAATTAATAATATAATTAATTTTCGTTAGTACATGCTACCAACTGCAAATCACTATGTTAATAATCATTAATACCTTATCATTAGCTATACAACAAAGCTCATCGATCCAACTATGTGAGTAAACTTTTGTTGTTGTTTGTTAGCAACACCAACATGATCTCGATCCTACAATTTGAATTATTTACTTATAAATTCAATATTATAATGACATTAGATTAAAAAAATATGCATCATACCTGTCATTTCTTTGAACTCTGTTGAGTTAATTGATCGGCGAAATAGCCAAGAGGAGGGTGAATTGGCAATACAAATTTTGGTGGAAGCTTTTTCAAAAAATAGAAAATAATTGCACATCAATTTATAGTTCGACTTTCTCAACCAAAGTCTACGTCCACTACCTTAGCTATCCACACTAAGGATTTTCCACAAATTCACTAATTTTTCTTTCTTTTGAGGATAAAGAGTAACCTTACAAATCCCTCAAGAATTATACTGCAAATTCTTGAGAACACTCTCTTCAAAAGAGAATATTACAAATTTTGCAAACTTACAGAAAAACTCAAAAGGCAAGATGTTTGCACAATTCTAGAACAAAGAAAGAACACTAAAAAATGAATACAATTGAGCACAATAAGTGTTCTTGAAAGCAAAATGAATATTGAATGAAAATTTGGCTTGAAATGCTCAAACTTGAGGTTTAATGCTTTCTCTTTGATTCTCTCTCAATTCTTGTTAATTGTTGTTGATCAATGGCTCCTAAGCTTGTTTAAATACACCTTGGATCACTTCTGAACGTTGGGGATCATTGGTGAAGTCAATAGAGCCGTTATTGTGTAATTATC